TGTCCCTCCCCTTCACTTTCCCTTATCTCACTTCCACTTGAGTGCCCTAGCTGGACAATTGTCCCCAGTAACCCTGGGGTGCTGTTTCTGTTATAACCGGGCTGAGGAACTTTGAGGGTTCCTCCTTTCAAGGAAGCGTTCATTCACCTCTCTTGCACTTCTTCCAGGGGACTTGAAGCCCAGCCTCTTGCCCCCAGTTTATATCTTCTTGTTTGGAATCCCATAGCTTACCAGCAGGCTGGAGGGTGGGATAAAGGTGCTCCTGTGAGCTTGTCTGATCCCAGGGGGAGGGGCTATTTCCCCAGATCCCACCCCTGCTAAAGCCTGGGGGAGAGCCCCCTCCCGTGCACATCTGCTGACCCTAGCCCCCACTCTTGTGTCATTAGAGTGGGTATCCGGAGAGTGCTCCGGCTTTGGTGCTTCCAGTGGGGTGTGGCAGAAGGGGCAACTTCACCAGATCCTAATCTACTGTCCTGACCCAACCCTTAGGTAAGGACCAATCTTAGGGAGGGGTATCTGGTTTATCTGGGGGTGTCTTGGCCCCAGACACTGGCTGGCATCGCAAAGGATTCTTTCTCCAGGAATGGAAGGAAGAGGCTGCTCTGTTGGGAATAATCCTCCTTCCTGTAGTCCTAATCTGGGTTGAGTTTGTCTTTGTGGGTCTGGGGCTGTTCTGGAAATGAGAAATATGTTATTCTCTCCTAACCCTACTGGCCACCAAATCCTTTTGTTAGTCCAGGAAATAGGGCCAGGTGTCTTTTGCTGTCCCTAAGAGGGGCACTGATGAGAACCCTGATGTCCTGGCAGTTGAGTACCTTCACCAGTCAGGGTTTAGGCTGGAGAGGGAGGGGTTTGTGTATGCCAGGGTGAACACCTGGGTGTATTCATGCCCATCTGTGAGGTGGGCAAGAACAGGCGCTTGGGGGGTTATTGTTAGGTAACTCAGATTTCTTACCCTATCCATCTGTACTCAGCTCTTCCCAAGAGGTTCTCCCACCTTCTTAGACCTGCTGCCACTCTCTTGCCTGCCAGGGAGGAATGGAGGGGGTCTCTGGGGATCTGGAAGATTAGAAAGATTAAATGGCAAAGGACTTACCCACCCTCCCGTAGCCCCTCTTGCTTCAGGAAGAGACCTGAGGTGGACAGATAGCCCACCTCTGCCCTCTCAGAGACTCCTCTACACCAGTCTTTCCTATTGTCCTGCCCCCTGACCTTTGCCTTTGGGGCTGAATCAGCTGTGAGGCTGCAGACCAGAAGGGAGGGGTGAGTGATAACCACTGGCTTTGGAAAAAGAGGGAGGTGAAAGAGGTGACATTAGAACCCTTTCCATTATCCCAGCAGTGGAGGAAAAAGTTCCCTCTTTACATGCACACCCTCCACAGGGATAACTGGGGCAGGGCTGCCAGGCCCACCCCTTTCGCTGCCTTCTCTAGAGCACTGGGGATCTGGGAATCTGAGCCCTTGGGCTTCAGCCCCTGTCTCTTCCTTAGCCCATGGGGACAGCTCAGCTCTTCCTGGCCCAGAACTAGAAGGGAGGAGGTTTGCAGAGTCCTACATGTGGCCAGTTTGGTGAGCCTGCTTCCCCCAACCACTGGATATGAGGAAGTGGAGGCCTGCTTCATACTCAGGCTGGAGTGGGTTTGAGCTAGAGGCCTGGGTTCCAGTTCCCCTAGTCAGTGTGGGGTGTGTATAGGGGGGCAGCCATGGAGTATGAGTTTGCTCTGAGGCATGCAGGAAGAACCTGTGGTGGTGGCCACTAGACCCTGTCTAGATTACATAGGACCAATGTCACTCCTTGGTATGGTAAGGCTCTCTGGGGACTGGAGTCATTTTCCAGCCCCCTCATGGAGAATTCTCCACTCACCCCTTGCCTCCACCAAGGGTGGAAAAGAGCAGGTTTGTGTGGGAGGAGACCTACTGGATCCTGCAGGGACCTGGAGACCTTGCCTCCCTCTCCGCAGCCCCCATTTCTGTGCCCTAGACAAGGGGTGCATAGGATGTGGCGCCCCATCTGTCCCCCACCAATCTCCGCAGCTCACGCCTCCGCCCGCTCCCAGACGTCCAAGAATGTGAAGCACGTGGATGCCCGTAGTGGGGGAGGGGAGAGATGCTTATCGAGCGGCCCGCTGGGCTCAGGGCTTTCTTTCCCTGGTTGGCTGGCTGTGCTACACCCAGAGCCACCCCCACCCTCTTCCCCGGTGTAGGCAGGGCAGTTGAGAGAGGGTCCTTCGCCCCCTCCCCAATTCTCCCCAGGGTTTGTGGAAGGGAGCTGTGGAGGAGAGGGCGCCAGCTGGATTGGGAGGGGAGCCGCTGGCCAGGGGCCCGGCTGATTTCCTGCTGATCTCCTCCAGGAAACCGGCCCCTTGCGCGAGCCTGCGAAAGGCTCTGGGGCGGCTCAGGGGCGTGGGGACTCCGAGTGCTCTGCGCGCCCGCCCAGGAGGGGGAACTGGGGAGGGGCACCCTGGCAGCAGTGGCGGGAGGGGACGCCGGCCAGTTCCAGCCCTCTACTGGGCGCTGGAACTTTGAGCTGAGAAGGTGTGGTCCTTCTTCTGCTTTAGTCCTGATTCAGGAAGAGGAGAGATTTGTGGGCTGGGGCCTCTCAGGAGGGAGGCCTGCAGGGAGGGGCCAGGGTAGTCCCTCCTGGGTGGTATCTTTCCCCCTCCCTCTAGTGTGCAGAATTATAGCTGTGCTCTAATTCGTGCAGAAGCAGAGGGAGCTTGGAGTCCCCACACCTCCGCCTTGTCCCTCCTGCCTTGCTGGTTGGAAGCCTGGGGAGGTGGGGACTGTGCCCCAGGCTCTGGGTTCAAAGGGCAGAGCAGGAAACCTTGAGCTGCGTTATCTGAGTGACAGGTGGGGATATGTTGGCGTGGGGGTATAGCTAGACTGTATTGCAGCCTAAAAGGTAGCCAATCAAGCTGCTGTGGGATGGCTGAAAGGGGCTTCACCCAGCCCAAACTGTAGCCCCAGCCCTGGGTAAATTGTAAAAAGCACATTTTTTTCAGTTCTATAAACAACCCCTGGACTTTGCCTTAGCTCCAAATTTCTATGAGCCTTTGCCCCTCTGGTGTGTCCCTGACTGGCTACTCTTCATCCTGGTATCCTGTGCCTTCCTCTGCTCCCCCTTCCTATCTGTACCCCAGAGCTCCCTCAGTTCTCTCCTCCTCCAGTCTGGTTCATTTTAGAGGGCGGGCTTAGGGCAAAGGATGGGTTAGAAGGGGAGGGGGGGGTCAAAGCTTTCTTCCCCTGCCTGTTGGAATGCTGACCAGGATTCTAGGCCACCCCCCCCCCCCCCCCTTTTCTTTGTCCCCCCCCCCCCCCCAGTCCGGATTGTCTATTGTTACTGCTTTTTACATCTTGGAAAAAGTTAGCACAACAAAGGGCTCCTTTGTTGCTCACCCCTCTGCCTCCTGGCCTCACTCAGGCCCCCCAACCCCCCCTCCCCCCCAGCAGCTGTTCGTTGGCCTCCCTGCCTGTCTGATTTGCTTGTCTGGCTTGGGGAGAATGAGATGGGGGGAAAAACAGGCCAGGACAGTTTGGTGTTGGGGTGAAGAGCAGAAGGCTGGGGGTGTAGGCATAGGTACTCCCTTCACTGCAGGTTGCTCTCTGGGCAGGAAAGAGAACATGGGCTACAGCAGTACTGGTCAGCTGGGCTGACCAGCAAAGTGGTGCCCAGGCCTTACTAAGAGCCAGGAAAGCCTGCCAAGGTTGTTGGCCTGGTTCCCTGTCATCAACTGCCTGGCATCCCCTGGTATGTTTGCAGGTAAGGGGGGAGGGTGCTGCAGCCCCCACACGTCCTTTCTCTGTTCCTGGACTTTGGGGCCATAGGACTCATGTCTGTAAGGTACTTGGACCAGGAGCTGGGGGTATTTTAAATGCCAGTTTCTTATATGCTAGAGTGTAGAGTGGAGCTTGATTGGGGTGTGTGCACAAACATGTCCCTAGGGAAGCATCCTTACTCATCTTTGGCCCCAAAGAAGTGGATGTGGCAGGCCTCAGGAGGACGCTGGATGGCCCCTTGGGGATCGAGGATTACCTGTGTTGTAGTTCTTATCCAGCACACTACACCCCCAGTTGCCCAGGCTCTAGACATAGACATCCCCCACCCAGGCCAATCCTGTTTGGCCTGGGGTGATGGGCATGGAGCCAGGCACTAGGGAGATTTGGCCAGTGGGGGCTGCCCATGCTGGCTGGGTCACCCCTCCTGGCTGCCCTCTTGGAGCTGAATAACAGAAGGAGAGGGGGTAGTAACCCGGACATAGTATTGAGGCCAGACAGACAGAGCATTGATGGGAACAGACCCCCTTTGTCATGATGCTTCCCCCCAGACATCGGGCACCCAGAGTGATGGGTTCCTGGGGCCATAGGGACTCTTTTCCTGTCTTCAAGGGATCTCCCTAAATATCTCTAAGAGGCCTAGCTTGCTCTACCCCAATATTTGTGATTCTTCTTTGCACACCCTGCCAGGGGATTGTTTGGGTGGAGGAGGGGCTGTGGTTGCTGGCAGAAGGGGTGGAGGGGGGAGCGGAAGCTGAGGGGGCTGAGGGAGTGGCCGGCTTTGAATATCCTGTTGACCCCAGTTTCCTCTGCCCCCAGCTTATGTCCTCTTCTCTCCCTCCCTCATCAGGCCTTAACTCCTTCCTACCTCTGGGGAAACCAAGCCAAGATGCCTGGAGGCCCCAGCTTTGGAACTGGGCTGACTCCTGCTCCCCACCCCACAAACACAGCCATACACACACACACACACACACACATCTGATGATTTATAATGTTGATCTTTCTGGTGTCAAAGGTGGGGTCCTGGAAAAGTAGTCAGGAGTGATGGGGGAAATAGAGGTGTCATGGCAGCCTCCTTCCTCAGGGGAAGGCTGAGAGTGCCAGCTTTCCTGAGACTGTCCCTGCCCCAGGCTCTGAATCCTGCTGCAATGGTGAGCATAGGCTCCTGGATGGGACCAGGAGGCAGGGTGGGGCAAGGTCTCTAACTGCTCTCTTCTCTTTTCTAGCCATTGAGACCCAGAGCAGCAGTTCCGAAGAGATAGTGCCCAGCCCTCCCTCGCCACCCCCTCTGCCTCGCATCTACAAGCCTTGCTTTGTCTGTCAAGACAAATCCTCAGGCTACCACTATGGGGTCAGCGCCTGTGAGGGCTGCAAGGTGAGTTGAGGAGTCATGGGGAAGGGCAGTCTTGATTAGATAAATGGGATGTCTCCAAATATGTTGCTCTTGAGACTTGGTAGCAGCAGTGGAGGCGTAGGGAACACCTGCAGTAGACCCTCCTCCTTGATGCCAGGGCTCCCCGAAACCAGTGGTGCCCTCCTGCCTAAGCTGCTTTCCCCATCTCCATCCTCCTGCTGGCAGGGCAAACATTGCTCTGCCACCGCTGCCCAGGTTGCCATGGTGAGCTGGCTGCCGACAGGCTCTTGGCTGGGGACCTAGGAGGCCTGCCCCCAGCGGCCCTGTCTGAACCTCACCATGGCAGCCGGGCAGAAGGCATTTGGGAGCAGGCACCCTGCCTTGGCCTCCCCTTCAGGCACCCAGTCTGTGGTGTGGGCTTCTCATGTCTGGCTGGCCCCACCCATACCTTAGACTGCAGGTTAGATGTAGCTGTACCTTTCCAGCAGCTCCTCTCCCTGTGAGTCCCTAGGTTCTTCTTCCAGAAGTAGGGCTTACAAACTGCACAGCTTCGGGGCTGTGTTTGACTCTGGGTTACAGCCTAGAGTAGCTGTCCCCAGGTGTGAGACTCAGGTCAACAGCAAAGCCAGGCCTCAGACTGTGTGTGTCTTCTTGTCCTGTCTGATTGTTCCTGGCTTCTTCCTACCTAGTCTGACTGACTCTCTATCTGGGTGAACATGTGTATTGGTCTGGTTAGTGAACCTGTCTCGCTGCCTTCTCCCAAGTCTGTGTGATTATGAGTGTGTGCTTCTCTTCTCATCTTCTTGGCTTCTTCCTTCTTCTCATCTCTTTCTGTGTTCTGAGTGCTGGGCTGTGGGTTCCAAATCTCTGCCTCTTTCCCATCCAGGCCCATGTGTTCCTATTCCTGACTCATCAGCAGCCTTGAGGTCCTGTCCCCTCAAGGGAGGAGTCGTTTATGTGGGTATAGGTTGGGAGAAGACTCCTGCCCATGCTGCAGGATTGAGGCGGGTCCTGGGATTCTCCTGAGGAGTCTCCTTCTCCTAGGTGAATCATCTACCCACCTTTTCTGGCCTGCTCAAGGCTCAATGGGCAAAGGCTTGGGGGCAGCAGCTGCTGGCAGTCTTCCCCAAACTGAGACTCCATGCTGGGCACTGCTCCCACTGAGGGTGCGGATGACCTGACTCCCTGCCCTCCATACCCAGGGCTTCTTCCGCCGCAGTATCCAGAAGAACATGGTGTACACGTGTCACCGGGACAAGAACTGCATCATCAACAAGGTGACCCGGAACCGCTGCCAGTACTGCCGGCTGCAGAAGTGCTTCGAAGTGGGCATGTCCAAGGAGTGTGAGTGCCACAGGGCTAGGGGCCAAGCCCCACCCCAGGTGGGGCCAAGGTGCTGTTGAAGGCCAGTGGAGCAGGGCCGTGTGGATGTGTGTGCACATGCGTAGACATGCATGCTATGGCATGCAGGCTCGTGGTTAAGAATGGTTTGTGTATAGCTGCAAGGGTCTGTTTGTGGTGCCAGCTGGCTGTGTGTCCAAGTGTGGGTCAGTGCTCAAGCCCAGTGTGCATATAACTATTCCATTTGCATGTCCGACTGTGGTATTTGTACATTCGTGCATGTGTATCTGCTCCCAGGATAGCTTTCTCCCAGGCCCTGCTTGGTGTTAGGGTGGGGCTCAGAGGCATACCTGATTATGCATTTTTGGGAGGGGCCGAACTCTGGGAGGTGCTAGGTTGGTATTTCTGTATAGAGTGGGAGCTGGTACAAGGATCAGAAGCCATTGTCTAGGGAAGCCTGGGACCTGGAGTTGGAAGAGAATTAGAGCTTCTCAGATCCCAAAGGAACAGGGGTTTCCAGTTTGGGCTCAGCTGAGGCCCAAAGGAGGGAGGGAGGGGAAGGCTGGACAGGGAGACCCTCTTGTGTTGAATCATGGATGTTGCCGTGGTGACCGGTGATTGATGATGTCAGAGATAAATGACGCTGACAGACGCCTCCTTGTCTGCGTGGCCGTTGCTATGGAGCCTGAGCCTTGGGGGATGGAGTGGGGGAGGGGGCCGCAGGACCCCCTAGCCCTTTGTGGGGAGGGTAGTGAGGAGGGAAGTGGAGTGGGGGTTAAGGGATGAGGTGGTTCTGACTGATGCACCAGGAGCCCTAGACAGGAACAGAGGGGACCTGGAGTATCCTGCCATCTCCTGCCTCAGGAGGCTGGGCGTGCTTGGTTTTGAGCTCAGGAAGTGGTACTCCCTGCTGTAGAGTGGGTGACAACTTGGGACCTGCAAGCCTGAGACCATCGCAGAAGGGCTGTCACCTCCTCCTCCCTCTGGCCACCTTCCGCTCTTTTCACTTTTTCACTGCTGAAGGACCAGTATGGGGACCCCCTCTCCCTCCCACTGACAGCTCCCCGTCGCTCCCTCCTTCCCCTCTCCCGGCTGCTCTGTGCCCCGGAGCTGAGCAGCTGCCATTTCAATAGAATTAAAGCTTCCGAATGATAAACGTCTTGTCACAGCTGCAATTTTCTCTTCCCAAATTATCCCCCCACTCTCCCTCTCCCTCTCCCTCCTCTCCCCTGCACTTTATTGAATTTGCAGAATCGACATGAGTGATCTCCAAATTATGCCAGCTCCCCCCACTGCTGCCCCCTTCCTGGGCCCCCACCCCCACCCTCCCTTCCTCCCTCGTCAGCAGCCACCACCACCGGTCCTGTGAGTGATTGTGTGTCTGGGATAATCGGCTGGTAACGACCCCATCGCTTCTTTAAAGCCGAGTGGTGTGTGCGGCTCAGCGCCCCCGGTGATTTGTCAGTTCCCCAGCTAATGGACCGAGAGATTCACCCGCCTAGCCCCCCACTCAGAGGCTGGGGAGCCCTAGTACTCCCCACCTGCTCAAGGAGCTACTCTGAGCCTCTTAGTACTAGGGATCTCCAGGGAGACTGCCGGGAGGCTGGGTGCCGAGGAAGGTCCTTCTTAGGGGGACGCCGGCAAGCAAGGTACAGAGGAGGAAGATGTGTCCTGCGGGTCCCAGTCCTGCTCTCACTCCTGAGTGTAGGCTGAAGGGGGTGCTTGGAAGGACAGCGTGTCACTGGCTGGCTGTGGGGCATGTGTGGAGATGGGTGGAGGCATAGCTGTGGTCATGGGGCAAGATAAGGGCTAGAGCATAGGGGATGCCTTTCCTGTCCGAGTGTGCATCGCGTGTCTGTGTGTTCGTGACAGCCAGGGTGACCTCAGCAGCTCTGTATGGTGGGAAGTGCTAGACCTGTGGTGGCTGCTGCAACAGCTCTCTAAGCTGCCCCTTGCCCTCCACAGCTGTGAGGAACGACCGAAACAAGAAGAAGAAGGAGGCGCCCAAGCCCGAGTGCTCCGAGAGCTACACCTTGACGCCGGAGGTCGGGGAGCTCATTGAGAAGGTGCGCAAAGCGCACCAGGAAACCTTCCCTGCCCTCTGCCAGCTGGGCAAATATACTACGGTACGTGCCCCCTGGAGTTGGGGGTGGGGAGCGCGCTGCAGGATGTCTCTTCTGGTATGCTTTCCCCCTCACGCCTGGCAGGGAGCCTGGCCGGATCTCCTTATCTCCCTTCTCCCCTCTGCTGCCACTGCCTCCAAGGAGCTCTCAGGAAGTGGAGGCTGGCTGGAGGGCAGGTCTGTGGGAGCCAGGCTGAGCATGGGTGCCACTAAAGAGGCCCTTACTCTCCTCCCTCTCCCAGAACAACAGCTCAGAACAGCGTGTGTCTCTGGACATTGACCTCTGGGACAAGTTCAGTGAACTCTCCACCAAGTGCATCATTAAGACTGTGGAGTTCGCCAAGCAGCTGCCTGGTTTTACCACCCTCACCATTGCCGACCAGATCACCCTCCTCAAGGCTGCCTGCCTGGACATCCTGGTGAGGGTCTGCCCCCCACTGTCCTGGGCACTGCCCTGTTCTTGGGGGATGTCCTCTCAGCTAAATAGTTGCTTTTCTGAATGTCCATATTGAATTGACCTGTCCAAATGCCCACCACCCAAATATCCACCTTTCCTCCCCCATGTGTCCACCCGCCCACTCATTTGCCTGTGCATCTGTCCGTACAGCCACTCAGCAGCTAGTGTGTATGCATTCACCCAGTCACCTTGTTCATAGTAAGATTCACCTACACCCATCTGGCCAATCCTTGAGCTGTGTCGGGAGCCCGAGGTGGACACACCACTGTACCCTCTCTTGAGAACCTCCCAGTGGAGGAGGCCACAATGAGTAAACAGAGGATACAAAATTGCTAAGTGCTGCCCAGAGGGAAGGGGAGGCTGTGTCCTCCCCATCAGAGAGGGTTGTGACTCCCTGGCCACCAGGGAAGATGTCTGAAAGGAGTGCCCTCTAGAAGTTGATAGAAGGGACAGGTGAGAGGGCGTCCCCTTCCCAGGAGCAAAGATTCAGGGGACCGCAAGGCACTTGAGGCTGACAGGGTGGACTGAGCTGTGGTCAGAATGCAGGAGGTGGTAGTGGGAACTGCCCAAACCGAGGCTGGGAAGAGGACTCTTCTTCCTGTCATCCCTGACAAGGGCTCAGTCCACCTGTTCCCTTTCAGACACGTCCAGGGTGAGACACCTGGGATTTGGTGAGGCTAGTGGGTGGTAGGCAGAGAGCGTGCTGTCCATGCTCAGCCACCCATCTCCATGCCCAGATGTGGAAGGCACCATCAGGGTGCACCTGGTTCAAGTCAGGACACCTCGACTGAGCTTTGTCCTGTGAACTGTGGACACAGATCTTCCTAGTTCCTTGTCTCCTGGAAATTTGTGTCCCTCTGATTCTCTGTGGAGGCAAGATGACCTAGATCTGCACTGCCCAATACAGTAGCCACTTGCTCTGTGTGGCTATTTAAATTTAAATTAATTACAATTAGACTCAGGCCAGTTCCTCAGTTGCATTACTCACATCTCAATACTCAGTAGCCGCATAGGTCTGGTGGCTACTGTGCAGGATGGTGCAGAGAGAAGCTTTCCATCATTGTAGAAAAATTCTGTCAGACAGCACTGCTCTGGCTGCCTGCCAGGTGGTCCTCTGGGAAATGCTGGTTCTGTGTGCCAGGGGTAGATGGAGCTTGAGTCCCTGAACTTGTGCCTCTCTGCACCCAGATCCTACGGATCTGCACGCGGTACACGCCCGAACAGGACACAATGACCTTCTCGGACGGGCTGACCCTGAACCGGACCCAGATGCACAACGCTGGCTTCGGCCCCCTCACTGACCTGGTCTTTGCCTTCGCCAACCAGCTGCTGCCCCTGGAGATGGATGATGCTGAGACTGGGCTGCTCAGTGCCATCTGCCTCATCTGTGGAGGTGGGCAGGGGCCCGGGTGTGGGGGCCAGGTCCAGGGTGGGAGTGCAGGCCTTGGAGCCTTTGCAGAAAACTCAGACATCATCTGCCATGTCCCTCTGAGAGAGGGACACTGAGGCCTTGAGGGGCAGCAAGACAGCAGTGTCAAGGGCCTGAACCCTGAAGCCCTATTTCTTCTAGGGAGTTCAAGAATGAGGACTGGAGGGTCAGTCTGCCCAGGTTCAAGTCCTGGGCAGCTGTGTGACCTTGAGCAGGTTACTGATTTTTTAATGTTTATTTTTAAATTTTAACTTTTGGTTGTTGAGCTTTTCCGAGCCTGCTTCAGAGCCTCTGTTTCTGTCAAATGGGGTCAATAACAGTCTACCTCATGAAGTCGAGGTGGGGTTAACGAGGTTTTCAATAAGGCAGAGCATGCCTGCAGTAAGACCCGGTTCATGTTGGTTGCTGTCACCAACGCCTGGTGGGATTGGGAGCCTGCTGGGAATCCTCCCTCTGCTTGACAGTGGTGCCGCCTGTTTAGGGGTCCCAGACCCACAAAAGGGGCTGGTAGGGAGGGCTTTGGTAACTCTGGTCCTAACTCCTCTTTGCTTACATTTAAGGGCCTCTGTTCCCACTGGGCGCTCAGAGACCCCCTGTCTTGTGGGGAGGTCTGAGGTACCCTCTGGGCTGCCCTAACTGTGGCCTGTTCAGACATGCCCTCCAGTGGCTGATACTGGGAATGCAGTTGTGTGCTAGTTGAGGGCATCTGCTCAGGGGACAGTTCTGTGCTTCTCAGACCGGCAGGACCTGGAGCAGCCTGACAGGGTAGACATGCTGCAGGAACCACTGCTTGAGGCGCTGAAGGTCTATGTGCGGAAACGGAGGCCCAGCCGTCCCCACATGTTCCCCAAGATGCTGATGAAGATCACAGACCTGCGAAGCATCAGCGCCAAAGGTGAGGCTCCCTGACCTAGAAGGGTGTGGCCCCTCCACCTAGCCTGGGACCTACTGTTCATGCCCAGGGTCTGGCCCCCAACAGCTTAGCTGGCAACAGCTCACCCTGCCCAGACAGTGTGCTGCTCACCTGGATCCACCTGTCCCTGTCTAAGCTACAGTTCCCCGAAAGCTCTCTGGCCAGATACCTTTGCATGGTAGTTCAGGGCACGGCTCTGGAACCAGATCCCTGGGTGTTGTCCATGAGCCAGAAACTAGCAGCTCTGGACCTCAGTTTCCCATCTGAGGAGTGGGGATGGTGATAGTGTCTGGAGGTGGGAGTGGGATAATCAGGAGGCCCAATGTCAAACCCAGGTAGGCAGTCTGACCCAGGAGCCCAAACTTGGTACCACTTTGCCCCATTGCCACAAGCCCCTGGACATGACGTGGGGTCTAGGAGAGCTGGTACATGTCAAATAACTAAGTCCCAAGTACAGTGTGTGGTGGGTGCCTACATTCCTGTATTGTCCTCCCGCCTCCCATGGCCCTCCCTCCTGAAGCCCTGCTTGTTGGCCAGGGTGGGGCATATTGACCTCCACCTTCCTTTCCTGCAGGGGCTGAGCGAGTGATCACGCTGAAGATGGAGATCCCAGGCTCCATGCCACCTCTCATCCAGGAAATGCTGGAGAATTCGGAGGGCTTGGACACTCTGAGCGGACAGCCGGGGGGCGGGGGACGGGATGGGGGTGGCTTGGCGCCCCCGCCAGGCAGCTGTAGCCCCAGCCTCAGCCCCAGCTCCAACAGAAGCAGCCCAGCCACCCACTCGCCGTGACCACTGCGCCACTTGGACACAGCCCTGGCCCATGCCCCGGCTTTCTCTGCCTCCTACCAACCACGCAACCCTGCCAGCCCTGCCCCCACCGGCCTCCCAGACAGAACTGGGGACCTTCCCAGGGGACAGGAGGGAGGAGGCAGCAACTCTCTGGACAAAGGCTTGGGCCCGCGATGGACTGCCCTCTCTGCAGCCTGGGCTGACGTCGGGGGCCAGGCAGTGAGCCAAGTGAGGACCTGGGCCTGGACCTTGCGTTTGTCAAGACAGCCCTGCCCGCCTCGCCACATCTTCATCACCAGCAACGCCGGGACCTGGCTCCCCATCCTCCAAACTCAAGCCATTGCTCCCCGGTTGGGGAACCTCCCCCTGCCTCGGTTGGTGACAAAGGGGTGGCTGGGGTGGGGGGTTCCCCCTGTATATACCCTGCCATACCAACACCCAGGTATTAATTCTCGCTGGTTTTGTTTTTAATTTTTTTGTTTTGATTTTTTTAATAAGAATTTTCATTTTAAGCACATTTATACTGAAGGAATTTGTGCTGTGTATTGGGGGGAGCTGGATCCAGAGCTGGAGGTGGGTGGGTCCTGGGGGAGGGAAGTGGCTCAGAAGGGCTCCCGCTCTCCCTCTGCGTCCCTGTCCCTCCAGCCCTCCTCCTCAGCCTTCTCCTCTTCAGTTTTCTCTTTAATACTGTGAAGTACTAACTTTCCGTGGCCTGTCTTCCCCTCTGACTGGGGGAGCAGCCAGCCCCTTCCTCCCTCTTCCTAACCACTGGGTGTGGACAGTTTCGGGTAACCCTTGGAAGGAGGGGTCCTGGCCTTTGGCATCTGCCTCCACTCAATGACAAGTGGGGTAGGGGGAAGGACTGGGGTCCCTGGGGACGTGTAGAGTGCTTCTCTACAATGTCTCTGCCTGTCAGGGCCCAAGTCATCCAAGCCCCTAGCCCCACTGTGAAGGGGCCAGCCAGGGGTTCTGAGCTGCCTCTGCCCCCAGCCTCACAGCCACCAGCACCCCAAGGGGTCCCTGGACACACACACACAAACACACACACACACACACACACACGAGTTGATGGGCTGACACACTTAGCCTGAGTTCCTCCATTTCCCTGGCCTATCCTCTAATCCTGGCTTGCCCCACACCCATGCCCCCTTCTTTTCCCGCAGGACGGGTGTATGGGGGGGTCCCCTTCCCTTACCCCTGCACCTCTGGGCTGGGGGAGCTGGCTCTGCCCTGCCCTCCTGGCCCCAGGGCTGGGGTCCCATCCCCCGGAGCCCACTGGCGCACCTGTTACTGTTGGACTTTCCACTGAGATCTACTGGATAAAGAATAAAGTTATATTTATTCTACACCTGCCTCAGCTTCGCTGCCTCCACTCCCTTCCCTTGGTGTCCAGGTAGGGGGCTTGGGAGGGGGGCTTCCTGACAGGCTTTAGGCCCAGGCTGTCAGGCACAGGCACGTGGTGGTGGTGGGGGGGGGCGCAAGGATTAGGCCTGTGTGCTGCTCGAAGCTGTCCTTCCAACAGGGTGAGGTTCTTTGGAGACTCTGATGGAGGAGATAGGCCTGATCTTGTGCTGCCTGCAGTCAGAGAGCCCCCAGGCTGGGAGTGGGGAGGGGAGAGGAGGAAAGACTTCCCCAGCCCTCAGGAACCTCCAATCCGAGGGAGAAAGCCAGTCCCTGGTCCATGGAGAACCAGGGGCTGAGCTTGGATCTCAGAGGAGATCTATTTTGGAAGTGACCACAGACTTGATCTTTATGGCAGGGGTGGCAGGTGGCATAGGGGTGGGGGTCAGGCCTTATGTCAACCTATAAGAACATGAGATTGGGGTAAAAGTTCAGGCAGTCAGCCCACCCATCCCTCTGCCTTCAGGAAGGACTGTCCAGTCCTCCCCTATCTACCTGAAGCCCATTTGTGGGCAGCAGGCACAGAGGAGAGTTTGCGGGAGAGCCTGGATGTTACTCATCCATACGTGTGTGGCAGACCCCAAGGGCCTTCAGAACCAATTTTGCCCATCCTTCAACCCAGAGAAGGCAGTGTCCCTGCCCCAGGCTCAACAGCGAGTTAGTAGCAGGTTGGGTATCAGTACTCAGGGCTCCCAATTCTTGTTGTAGGGCTCTTTACCGGATCCCTGGAACTGCGACAGAAGAAACCTCAAACAGGGAGCAGGGGTGGTGGTGATGGTGGGAGGAGGTTGTCTGGTCCTTTGCAAAGACAATCAAAAGGAGTCCCCCAGCAATTTCTACTTATGCCACTAGGTGGCAGCAGCTCCTCACTGAAGTCACTGTTTACTGCAGGAGCCTTGGGAAGAAAGGGGTTTTCCTCTAGTAAATGTTTTCTAACACTTTATGAAACAAATAAAATTTAATAAAACATACCTGTACTTTCAAGAACAATGCTTTCAAGATCAATATTCCATAACAACTGCAGTATAAAAGAGGAAAGGGGTGCTATGTATTTCTATGTGAACTCGTGCTTATGTTTTTACAGGGCCTTGCACGTGCTAGGCAACTGCTCTGCCACTGAGTTGCAGGTACCCCTAGACCTGTGCCTCTTTTTTTTGAGACAGAGTCTCATTAAATTGCTGAGACTGGCTTCAAATTTGCAATCCTCTTGCTCAGCCTCCCAAGTTGCTGGAATTACAGGCATGTGCCAGTGAATACTGGCACGTGCCTATTTTGAACGAGGACACTCAGATTTAAAAGGAGTAAGGTTGGCTGGGCCGTGGTGCACACCTGTAATCCGAACAACTCAGGAGACTGAGGCAGAAGGATGGCAAGTTCAAGGCCAGCCTCGGCAACTTATTGAGGCCCTAGGCAACCTAGCAAGACCCTGTCTCAAAGTAAAAAGTAAAAATTGCTGAGATATGGCTTGGTGGTTAAAGACCCCCCAGGCTCAATCCCCAGTAATAAGGGGGAAAAAAAAGTAAGGTTAGAAGCCATTCTGTATAAGAAGCACAGGGAAAATAAAAAGAGCTGGGTGAATGTTGAAATAAAAACTGCTATAATCTGTATTTAAAATACCTTTGCAAACAAACAAGGAAAATCCTTAATGTTTCATGTGTAAAACAGAGTCAGGTACTGGGCTCAGGTAATTCAGAGGTTTTCACTATGTAAATCCCCAGTGGGACCTCCACAGGGAGAGAGACCCAGAGGTCACATACCCTGGTGACCGCAACAACAGGCAGAGGTATCCACCCAGAGCCTTCCTGGAAGAGGTGGCCCCTCTCAGCCCTTAGGGGAAGAGCGAGGCAAAGTACAGAGAGGCAAAGTACAAAGTACAGAGAGTTGCATGATCAGAAATTGTCAGCAGCTCTGTGTTTTAGCCATTTCCAATTTTTAAAAAAATATTTTTCATCGTAGATGGACACAATCCCTTTATTTTGTTTATTTAGGTTATTTTTATGTGGTGCTGGGGATCAAATCCAGTGCCTCACGCATGCTAGTGCTCTACCACTGAGCCACGACCCCAGCCCACCATTTCCAATTTGGATCACAGCAGCGGGAGAGGTGAGACCACGGAGGATGGGATGGGCTCAGGCCAAGGCCAGTTTAGGAGCTGGATGGAATCCTGAGGGTCCAGGAATGATTGTGTTTGGGTTGGATTTGCTGTGGGAACAGAGGCTGTGGGGGTTCTCCAGGTCCACCAGTGATGGGGGGGGGGCTCTGAGGGGTAGTGAAAGGCAGACACAGGAGGAAGAGGCTAAGTGGGACCAGGTGACTGCTGACTTGTGGGACACAGGGGGTGGGGTCGGCCGAGCTAGTAAGGTTGCCAAGCAACTGAGGAAGTTGGGGTTGCTGTTGGGGCGCTCTTGCCCTGTGGCTCACACCACGCCAGCCACACTCCAGCCACACCAGCCTCTTTCCATTTTGCCTCTGGGCCTTTGCACCTGCCATTCCCCCTGCCACCTGAATGCTCTTCTTGGAAACAGTTTCATGGCTACCCCTTGCTACAAAATTCTGAAGTGTCGGGCTGGGGACGTGGCTCAAGCGGTAGCGCGCTCACCTGGCATGAGTGCAGCCCGGGTTCGATCCTCAGCACCACATACAAACAAAGATGTTGTGTCCGCCGAAAACTAAAAAAAATAAATATTAAAAAAAAAACATACAAAAAAAATTCTGAAGTGTCACCTCCTAAGGGGTGTCACTCTCCCCTTCTTCTGACAACCAACTGACATGTATCCTGTACCCATTTACTGTTGCCTTCCCCTCTAGAACATAAGCTTCCTGAGTGCATATGGTAGACCCCAACACATGCACCACACCATACAGCAGCCACCAACACTTGCCTTAGAGATGTGCTGGTCCAATCTGAGATATGCTCTAAATAGAAAGTTCACACCAGCTTTGGAAGATTTCATGTAAAAAAAATGTAAAATATCTTTTTAATGCTTTTTAATATTGACAAGGGGTTGAAATGACACTATTCTGGATATAATGGATTAAAGAAAATCATGTCCTAAAACTAACTCCACCTGTTTCCTTTTTGTTTTTTAACATGGTTAATGGAAAACTTGAAAATATATAAGTAGTTCACATGCAATTTTTTTTTCAGCCACACTGGAGATCAACCCCAGGAGCACTCTACCCCTGAGCTACCTCCCCAACACTTATTTTATTTTAATTTAATTATTTATGGTACCAGGGATTGAGCCCTGGGCTAACCACTAAGGCGCTTAACCACTGAGCCACATTCCCAGCCCCGTTTTATTCTATTTTTAAAAAATTTGAGACAGGGTCTCACTAAGTTGCTTAGGTCCTTGCTAAGTTGATGAGGCTGGCTTTGAACTTGTGACCCCCCTGCCTCAACCTCCCAAGCTCTAAGATTGCAGGAAAGTGCCACCACTCCTGGCCCTAATCTTTTTTAAAATTTTCTTTCTTTTTTTTTTTGGTGGTGCTGAGCTATATCCTCAGCCCTTTTAATTTTTATTTTGACACAAGTTCTACCTAAGTTGTCCAGGCTGGCCTTGAACTTGTGATCCTCTTGCCTCAGCTTCTTAGAGTCCTTGGGATTGTAGTGCATATCACTGCACCTGACTCCTCACATACCATTTCATCAAATGATGCTGATCTATTTTTTTTAATGTTTATTTAATTGTAGATGAACACACAGTGCCTTTATTTTTATGTGGTGCTGAGGATTGAACCCAGTGCCTCACACATGTAAGGCAAGCACTTTACCACTGAGCTACAGCCCCAGCCCCAAATGATGCTGATCTTGATCATTGCCTGACACATAGTATATACTCAACAAATATTTTTTGAATGACTTGATCTAGAAAACAGATGGACATCCACATCAGCATTGGTGTACAGGGGACCTGGCTGCAGACCCAGAACTGACTCTCATCAGAGAGATGGAGGTGTGCCCTGGGAGGCTGAGTATGTACTCAGGCGTGGAGATGTCAGCGGCCTGCAGACCTGTTCAGCTTCTCATCTAACACTTTTTTCTTCCAGTGTGAGTAGTATTGGGGATTGAACCCCAGAGGTACTCTGCCACGGAGCTACAGCCCTTTTTAGTTTATTTTGATACAAGGTCTCCCTAAGTTGCCCAGGCTGGCCTAAAACTTTCCTTCTTTTTTGGGGCGTGGGGGTCGGTACTGGAGATTGAACCCAGGGGCACTTTACCATGAGTTAGACCCCCAGCCCTTTTTGTTTTTTGAGACCAGGTCTTAGTAAGTTGCTTAGGGCCTCACTGAGTTGCTGAGGCTGGCCTTGCACTTGGGATCCTCCTGCCTCAGCCTCGTAGTAGCTGGGGTCGCAGGTGTGCACCACTGTATCTGGCTTCATTGAACACACTTTATTAAGCCCTCTGTATGCACGAGGCTGTGTATCACAAAATGGAGAGACAGCAAAGCCATCTGGCAGGGGAAGTGCTCTTCCCGGGGAAGCACAGGACTTAGGGTACCTGCTTCTTCCTTCAGGAAGACCCCTTTCTTGAAGGCCTGTTTTTTTCCCTAGTGAGACAAAAGGCAGGCAGGCAGGCATTATCGAGGGGAGGACAGGGCTGCAGAGGGAGGCTGCTTCTGGCAAAGGTCGTCACATCCAAACTCTTGGCAAAAGCGGGCTAGGCACAGACTTGGTATGGTTTTGAGCACAGAAACCACAGGAAGGCCACAGGGCCAGAGGCCTTCAAGTGGGGCCTGGCTGGGCAGCGTTTCAGAAGGTTCATGAGGGGGCCGGCTCTACCCCCAGGGCAAGGGTTTCAGCAGGGAGAAATGTAGACAGTCCCTCAGACTGCTGTGTGGCACACAGGAAGGAAACTGAGGGAAAGAGCAGCAGGCACTCCAGAGACCTGGGAAACGAAGCAGAGCGGGGACATGGTGGTCAACGGCAGAGCCAGGTAAGCAAGCAGGGTCGGAGCGGGTCCCTGAGGTGCGGTGAGATGGTGGTCCCTGGATTTGTCTCTTGGTCCTGGGTGGTCTTATCAATAGTGTCTTCACTGGGGTGATGAAGGAGGGAGAGACAGGCAGGTGTGAGGCAGCTGAGGGGACAGTCCTTTGAATGCCAGGGTGTGGGTGCAGGGGAGAGCTGAGGGGAACCAGGCAGGAGCCTGTCTCAGGGGCAGTTTCTCCCCAGGGTGGAGCCGAGAACAAGAAGGGTGAAAATGGAAGATGAAACAATGACACTAGGCTGGGCACAGAATCTGAGCAGGAGGATCACAAGTTCAAGGCCAGCCTGGGCAACTGAGACCCTGTCTCAAAAAAAAAAAAAAAAAAAAAATAAGGAAGGGCTGGGGCTGCAACCCAGTGGTCCTGGGTTTAGTACTAAAAACAAAACAGAACAAAAACAGGCAAACACTAGTCTGTCCTACCCTCTGGCCCATCCTACCCCGCTCTACCTCCATGCAAGGGCCCAGCCACCCTGCTCCAGCCATTGGGTGGAGAGTGGGATGTGTTCACAAGCCTACAGGACAGAGATCTGCTCCTGTGAAGGGTGACTCCTCCCCCCAACTTCCCATGTGTCCTCTCAGGAGGGGACACCTTCCTGGGAAGCCCACAGGTGGGCTGGGTTAGGGGAGTGGGGAGACAGTCATTGTGGCTGCTGCTGGCATTGGATTTTGGCTATACTTGCAGCGCATATAAGTGATCTCACACACCCAGCTCCTGCAGGATGTACATTACACGTGTGCAACAGTTCATGTAGGACATATATGTGTCTGTGTGCACGAGTACACACACGCATTGCTCACCAAGAGGTCCATGTGTCTATGTGCACCTGTATTCACAATACATTTGGGAGGGGTGTGTGTGTACACGTGTGTGCACCTGCATGCATACAGGGTGTTCACAGGCTCCCGGTGCACACAGCTCACACAGGTTTTGCGTGTGCACACAAATCTCACAGCATATTCATGTGTTCATTTGCGAACACTCACCAAGAACCCACATGGAAGTCACCCCTCTCTGATCAAGGAGAGCGCCTGGGAATGCTGGTATCACAGCTGGTTCTGTCCCTACTACAACCAGGTCACTAGCTGCCTTCCTCCCTCCCACTTCTCAGTCCCCTTGTCCTCCTTCCTTCCGACCATGATCAGAGCATCAAGGACCCGCCTTAGTTCATTCTCTGCGACCTCGGAATGGCCGCTGCCAGTGGCACCTGCACGCACTCCTTAAGTGCTATGCCTCCCTGGGCCAGTCCACCGTGCTCAGGCAGGGTCCCGCGACAGTCCTTTCGGAAGTCTCTTGCTTCTACGGCAGGGACCCGGGTGGTGGGGTTCGGCCTGGGATCTCACCGTCCACACAGGGCAGGGACCGCCGCTAGATGGTCAGGTCCTGGCGGACAGTGGCTAGTGACGCCTTGCTGCGGCCGCTTCCGCCCTCGCCTTCGCTGTCACCAGCCGGTGCCGGGTGCGCATAGGCGGGTGGGGCGTAGGGATCTGGGTCGGGGTGCTGCGATGGCAGAGCGGGCGGCGGCGGCGGCGGCGGCGGCGGGAGCAGCTTCCGCGCCTCCTCGTGCGCACGGTTGCAGCGGTTGTCGCGCTCTCCGGAGCGCGGGCGGCCCTTCCAGAGCAGATGGCCCAGCTCGGCCACGCTGAGCAGCGCCGATAGCAGCCCCACGGCGAAGTAGAAGACCACGAAGACCGTCTTCTCGGTGGGCCGGCTCACGAAGCAATCGACGGTGTGCGGGCAGGGCGGGCCGGCGCACGCGAAGTGCGGGGCCACACGGAAGCCGTAGAGCAGCGCCTGGCCGCCCAGGAAGGCTAGCTCGGCCAGGAGGCGCAGCGCCACGCTCAGCAGGTAGCAGCGGCGCGCGCGGCGAGCGCGCAGGGCGCAGGGTGCGCAAGAGCCCTCCGGGCGCCCGCGCGCACACGGCGCTGCACCCTCCGCGCCGCCCGCCTCCTTGCTGGCCTGGTGCATGGAGTAGATGACGAACAGCACCGGCGGCGCGGAGAGCAGCAGGATGTGGAAGAGCCAGAAGCGGTAGTGGGAGACTGGGAAGGCGCGGTCGTAGCAGATCTGGCGACAACCCGGCTGCAAGGTGTTGCACACAAACTCCTCTTGCTCGTCCTCGAATACCGCGCCGCCCACTGTGGCCAGCACCAGGATGCGGAAGATCAGCATGACCACCAACCAGAGGCGACCCACCAGAGGCGATTGTAGTTGCACCGCGTCCAGCAGTGAGCCTAGGAACGCCCACTCTCCCATGGTGCTGGGGATGCAGAGGATAGTAAGAGGCAGGGACTGATGGGGACCCCAGCCCCTCCCACGCCCATGGGGTGGGAGTCAGTTTTCTCTAACTTCAGAGTGCACCAGGGGTCCTAGAAGCCTGGTGCAGCAGGGTTTTGTGGGAGTGAGTGAGTTAACAGCGGAGCCCAGGATGAAGGGGTCTAAATGGAGGAGGTGATTCCCTAAGTTCTCTTCTTTCTGAGCTGGGGAGCAGCATCCCTGGAGTTTAGTCAGGGCCTGCTTGGGCCTGCTTGGCCTGCTCAGCTGGCCCTTATACTCCTCCAGATTTCAGACTTTGGGGAAGGGACTCTGTAGATGCCCAGGGCCAGCCCTTGACTTGCACTTATGGAAGCTGAGGCCCAGTGGCCATGTATGCACCAATGCTGGCCATCCGCAGGGGCCATGCCTGGAGTCCAGGATGCCAGGCCCCATTTGGGACTCCTGGGAGTGTTGGGGAACAGTGGGCAGAGCCACTGAAACCTTCTTCTTTCCCTGCCCACCATTCCTCTTGTTCTGGGAACCGCAGTGAACGCCTGGTGGGATCAAGGGGCTAATACAAAAGCAGCCGCCACTCCTGCGACTCTTCAGGATCCCTGTTCTGGGTGTTGTTGCGGCCCAGCCTCCTCCCGCCTCCTGCCAGGCATCCATCCTACAGAATCTCCAGAGAACCTCCCTGACACACAGTCCTAAGGGTCCCCCACAGCCCCTTGGTGCCCCCAGACCCACAGCTGACCCACTCACCAGGGGTTGGGGTTGAGGTGTTAGAGCCAAGAGCAGGACCTTGGGAGACAGCTGGGACCTGTTCCTCCTGGTCCCTCTTTCATTTTCCCTTTCGGATTTGGCTGGGATGGATGACAGGACAGGATGGCTGAGAGGGGCTAGCTCTCCCCCTTCTCTTAAAGGGACAGGGTGACCCTGATGGCTGGCTCCACCCTGGGAACAGATCCAAGGCCACACCCCTTGCTGGGCTCTGCCAGCCCTCCCTTTCCACTTCTCCCTCATCCCCTAGCTGGGTTTCCATCTGCAGAAAGGCATAGGGTTAGTCAGAGCCACATCTTATATTGAAGGAGCCAAGGGGTTCATGGAAGCTCTTCCTCAACAGACGCCCCCAGCCCCCAACTGGATGCCTAGATCTGCTATAAATGTTCCTTTTGAAGGTGGTCTTTGGTGCCAGGAGGAGGTTCTTATTGGTGTTTAGGAGGCAACACACATCTAATGGTTTCTGGTTCCAGCTCTGCCACTTCTTGACCTGGATAAGTCATTCCACTCTTTTGGGCCAGGATCTCCATCCAAGGAAGCTGGGCCAGCTGACCCCCAAGTTTGGTCTGGCTCAACATCTTAATGCTCAGGTCTCAGCCATGTTATAGAAAACCAAAAACCCTGTGCTTGGAAATGTCATGTGGAACAACATCAAGGTATCCAGAGTGACTGGCTTTGGTAGTTAAACAAAGGCTTTGGCTTCCTTTCTGCGTTTCCGTAATTTCCAGATTTATTATGTTGACCATGTTACATTATAAGCCTTTTTCGTCCATCAGGAGGCTCTGAATCAATGGTCTCCTACTGTTGTAGGTGGCAGGAGAGGCTGTCTCATTGGAGAGGGGAGTTGGGATGACTGATGGGGGCCTGAGCAGCTAGGGAGTCCTAGGAGTCTCCAGCTAGCACACTGCCCCTGCTCACTTGCTGGACAGGGCCTGGAGCCTGGACACACCCATTTGCTCATTCAGTCCTCCTACCAACCCTGGCAGGAGGGCACTCTTTACAGCCAGGGAAACTGAGACTCAGAGGGTCTAAGCTACTTGCCTGCAGTCATGCCACCAGTCATGCCACAGCAAATCCTGGCCTCACACTCTGCCTGACTGGTTCTTAAGCCTGTCTTTCCTCTGACCTGGCTGGGATTCCCAGGTGATGTCCCAGAGCCTGCCACGTGACATTTCTTCTTTCAGTCAGCCACAGGGACCTGCATGGTTTTCCATTTGCTGATAGGGACCCCCTGGTCTGCTTTCAGGAAGGGGTGGGAAATGTGCCCTTCACCCCCACTGGCTCAGGGGCCCAGCCCAGCCTGGAAAAACTTAGGTTAAGCCCTGCATGGGTGTGCCGGGGGAACCTCCCACCCTCCTGCAGGGGTGCCTTGGGAGTGGTCCTGGGTGGGGGGTGCTGCCCTGGATGAAGTCCAAAGGGAAGAGCATGTGATAGGGTCTCACATTCTGAAAACAGGATGTGTGGAGGGGGCACTGCTGACCTCCCCCTCCCCATTCTCCATCTGTCCTCGGCAAAGTTGCGCCCATTGCCCTGTCCTCAACCACAGGAGTTCAGGGTCACGCCTCATCTCTCCTGACTGTCCAGGATGGTCCCTGCCCCATCCCTGTGGCCCAGCCTGGAAAAAACCCCAACAGACCCTGTCTGGCAGGAGTGCAAAGGGAGTAGAAAGGGGCTGAAGTGTGCAGGGGGGGGGGGGGGTAGAGAGCCCGTGGTCATCCTGCAGTGTTCCCTGGCCCCCAAAGTCACAGGGCCAGACATAGGAGACGCTATAATCTCCAGGGCCCATCCTCCTTCTCAGATAGCGCTGTCTGGGCTGGGAGAGGTGTCGCTGACGATGCCCAGAGCACTGGTCCCTCTTGGCCCTGCTTGAAGACGAATACAGCCCTTCCTGCCCTGCTCCAGTCTGTTCCAGACACTTCACCCTGGTCTGCTGGGATGTGGAGACACTTCCTTCATTAGTCACAAAGGGGCACACATAATGCAGCACGCACATGTTTGTACTTATCAAGTTAATACCATGCCATAGCAAGACATAAGTGTATTTTCTTCTCCTACACCCTTTCAATATTTTAAAGTCTATACCGAGCCGGACACCATGGTGCATGCCTGTAATCCCAGCTATTTAGGAGGGTGAGGCAGGAGGATCCCAAATTCAAGGCCAGCCTCAACATCTTAGTGAGACCCTGTCAATTTTTTTTTCCCCAAGGGAGGGACTGATCCCAGGAACACCCTACCACTGAGTCACATCCCCAGCCCTTTTTATGTTTTTTTACTTTTGAGATAAGGTTTTGCTAAATTGCTCAGGCTGGCCATGAACTTGGGATTCTCCTGCCTCTGCCTACTGAGTTGCTGGGATTGCAGGCATGAGCAACCAGGCCAAGATATTGTCTTAAAATAGAATAAAAAGAGCCAGACATGGTGGTGCAGGTCTATAATCCCAGCAGCTGGGGAGGCTGAGGCAGGAGGATCATGAGTTCAAAGCCAGCCTCAGCAACAGCCAGGTGCTAAACAACTCAGTGAGACCCTGTCTCTAAATAAAATACAAAATAGGGCTGGGGAGTGGCTCAGTGGTCGAGTGCCTCGGGTTCAATCCCTGGTAACCCCCACCCCAACAAAAAGTAAAAATTAATAAGGACTGGAGATGGAATGCTCAGTGGTAGAACACTTGTTAGCAGAAGGCCCTAGGTTTGCTACCTACTGCAGCAAAAAACATCTTCACAGGAAAGCTGCCTTTTAGTGAGTGAGGCTTTCCCTAGTGGCCCTACCTGAATGTCACCCCCTACTTCCTACCCCTTCTCAGCTTTATTTCCTTTGCACTGATCACTACATAACATACTTTATGTTTTTCTTATTTATCCTGTTCAGCATCTACCCCGGCCGCCCACATTGGCACGTAGGCTCCATGACTGCAGGCTTTTTGGTTTTCTTCCCTGTCCAATCCCCAGCACTTAAACACTGGTGGAAGTTCCGTAGTATCTATTGGGTGGGCAAATGGATGAAGTGGAGTGGGAGGGTTGGGGAGGATGCAGATCTGTATCTTGGGTCCCACCTACAACTACTCACTCTGGTCTCTAGAGCTTGTGCTCCACTTAAGTGGCCAACTCAGTCTCAGGTCTATACTCAGAATGTGCAATGCGGGGCAGAGAGGAATCAGAGAACCCCTGTGGTTGAGGGCAGACCATGGGCAGGAGTCCTCTCTGGCTCAGGGGGCCATGTGCCAAAAGCCTGGGCAGGGAAAGACAGGGAGTGGGCAATGTGCGCAGGTGGTTGGTTCTGGGCTACTTCACCAGGTACTTCTGCAACCTCCCTCTTTTCCCCAGCGCTCAGCCCCAGGCTCCCAACCCACCCCTAGGGCTCTGCGATTTACCTACAACTGGGACCCGCTTCCTTTTCCAGCCTTGACTCCTCCTTTGGCTCTAAGGTTATTTAAGACTAGGCTTGGCTGTAGGAGCAACAAGAACTGTAGAACACTGCTTTCTCGCCAGGAAGGGAGACACACAGGGCAGGCAGCGTCGCGCTGATTGGGCCAAGCCCCTCCCTACAGCGCTCTGGCTCCCAGAGAGGCCGAGGGCTGCCACATGACCTGTCTACGAGAAGTCATTGGTTAGGACCGCTCTCTAGGCCCTGCCTATCCGCAAGGGAGCCTGGGAAATGTAGTCTTTATTCTAAGGGAACTTGTTCTCCCTCACTATCATATATCTGTTTCTGGTATTGATCCTCCACGCTGAGTTGGGGCGTCGGGGACACTCAGTTTTCTCCAAGTCCCTGTCCCTACCAGCTGCCCCTGTATAGTTTCTCCTGGAGGAAGAGGGAAACTCCTCACTCTGGTTTGTCACCTCGTCCCCAGGCCCTTCCAAGTGACTGCACCTCTGGCCTTTCTTCATGGGCCTCTGCCAAGCTCCATCCTTTCCCATCCTTGGGCAGAGGGGTCACTGCCTTCCAAAAGGAGGCCTCTACCTATCTTTTTCCTCCTTTTCACCCATTTTTTAGATTACACATATAGCAAACTCACTCCAGGGTGGGTCCTGCATTGGCTCATCTGACTGGCTAAGAGGCTTGGGAGTCGCTCTCTTCCTTTCCTTGAAAGCCCCAAAAGAACTGACAGGTGAGAGAAACTGCTCTGAGATTAGGAGTGGGGAAAGGCCTGAGTCTTTTTTTTTTTTTTTTTTTTAATATTTATTCTTTAGTTTTAGGTGAACACAATATCTTTATTTTACATTTATGTGGTGCTGAGGATCGAGTCCAGGGCCTCCTGCATACTAGGCGAGCACTCTACCACTGAGCTACAACCCAAGCCCCAGGTTTGAGTCTTTTAAGAAGCATCTTTCAAAGTCCTTTTCCCTCCATACAGCCTTACATGGCCCGTTTGTGAATGTCAAGACATATAAGCAATCACAATCCCTGGCCTGTAGCCAGGGGTCCTGATCCCTATCTGTCACTCCAGCCTCATGATTTTAGACCTGGAGTGGTGTTGAGAGAGGTCTCCAAGATTTCTTCCCTTCCAGCAGTTCTCAAGGAGAATGATGCAGTGTGGGATTTCCATCAGGTCACCTTCAGATCAATTGACTGGCTGACCATAGGTGACTCCCTCCCTAAAAGCAGTTCTCCTGTGCCCAAAGAACTCCGCTTAGAACAGGTCTTAGAATCAGATTACTGGGTGCAGAAGACAAGATCACTGTAGATAGAACCTCTTTTCGTCCAGCTAAAGTAACATTTATTGGTATTTCTTTTGACACTCACCAGGATGTACTGGGGACTCCTTGAGGCCGGTGAATATACCGTCTGACTCAAAAGAAATGCAAATCTGACCCCTGAAAGTATAGAGGAAAAATTTAAGTGGCCGTCGGGGGAGGGATACAAAAATGATACAAAGCTGGCTTTGAAAAGCAGTTCCTCAGCTTCTTATAAAGTTAAACATACACTTGCCTGGATCAGTGGCAAACACCTGTATTCCCAGCGACTAGGAAGATGAAGGCAGGAGGACTGCAAGTTCAAGATCAGCCTGGGCAACGTAGTGATACCCTGTCTCAAAATAAAATTTAGAGAAAGGGCTGAGATGTAGTTCAGAGGTAGAATCCTCTTGGGTTTGATCCCCAATTAAAAGAAGAAAAAAAAGGATTAAATGTACACTTAACATATGAGTCAAAGATTCCATTCCTAGGTATTTACCCAAGAGACATGAAAAAAGTATGTCTAAAAAGGATATGTATTCTAGTGATCAGAGCAACTTTATTCATAATAGGCCCAAGCTGGAAACAACCCAAATGTCTGTCAGCAGGTGAACGGATAAACAAATCTATGCAGTGGAATCACATTTAGCAATAACATGAAAAAGACACTATTAGGGCTGGGAATGTAGCTCAGTTGGTAGAGACCTTGCCTCTCATGCACAAGGCTCTGGGTTCAATCCCCCCAGCACCACACACACACACACACACACACACACACACACACAAAGGCACTATTAATACATGTAAAAGGGATGAATTTAAAAAAACCACTCTGCTAAATGGAAGAAGTCTGAGATAAAAGTGATCATATTGTGTGATTCTATTCATATGAAATTCTAGAATAGGTAAAAGTAACCTCTATTGGTGGAAGTCGGGTCAGTGTTTGGGGCCAGGAGTTGAGAAGACACATGTTTTGGGGTGATGGAAAGATTTTATATCTTCATTGTGATGGTGATTACACAGGATATATGTGTGCCAAATGTCAATCTGTACAATTAGAATGGCTGTATTTTGTGTATGTAAATTATACTTCAATAAAATCGATTTAAGAGAAAAAAGCAGTGTTGATCTGTACTGAAAGTCTCTGATGGGGAAGTGAAAACACAGAGTAAGACTGTCATCCTCATCTGAGTCTCTCTCCACTCCTCTAGATAGCTCTTTCCTCCCCCTTCTTCTCTTCCACCCTCCTCCTCTTCCCCTCACATCCACGCTGGTCCTCTTATCCCCCTTTATCATCTGCTTCTCTCCAGTTCTTTACAAAATAAAGTAGTTTGGCTTGTCCTAACAGTTTGAGTTTGTAATTCAGGATAAGGACTTCTGTGCTCAAACTTGTGATCCTCCTGCCTCAGGCTCCAGAGTCACTGAGATTACAGGCAGTGTGCCACCGCATCTGGCCTTGTGTGCAAAGCTTGGTCAACAGGCTATGGTGCTGTTGGGCAAGTAGTGAAGTCTTTGGGAGGTGGAACCTAGTGGAAGGAAGGTAGGTCATGGGGGTGTGGCCTTGAAGGAAATATTGGCCCCTCCCTCTCACTTTCTTTGTATCTGCTCCAAGGTGAGCAGTTTCCCCTACCACACGCTCTGCCTTGCTACAGGTCCAAAGTGACTGGGCCAAGTGACTATAGAATGAAACCTCTGAAACTGTGAACCAAAATAAATCTTTCCTCTTTTTTGTTTTTTCAGGTACTGGCAATTGAACCTAGTGATGTTTAACCACTAAGCCATATCCTCATTTTTTTTTTCCTCTTTGTATTTTTTTAAAATATTTATTTTTCAGTTGTAACTGGACACAATATCTTTATTGCATTTATTTTATTAATTTATGTGGTGCTGAGGATCGAACCCAGGGCCTCACACGTGCTACATGAGCGATCTACCGCTGAGCCACAATCCCAGCCCCTCCTCTTTGTATTTTGAGATAGGGTCTCACTAAGTTGCTGAGGCTGGCCTGTAACTTACAATCTTCCTGCCTCAGCCTTCCAAGTTGCGGGATTTAAGTTGTTTATCTCAGGTTTTTTTTGTCACATCAATGGCAAGTTGACTAACACAGCCTTCAAGTTCAATTTATACAATGTGTCATTCTGGTTATACACTTAGTAATTAAGGTATAAAATAAGAATAATACTTTTCACTTATTCCTTCTTTAATTCTTTTATTTTTTGAAGGGAGTACTGGGGATTGAATTCAGGGGCAGTCGACCACTGCGCCATACCCCAACCCTATTTTGTATTTTATTTAGAGACAGGGTCTCACTGAGTTGCTTAGCGCCTCACTTTGGCTGAAGCTGGCTTTGAACTCACCATCCTCCTGTCTCAGCCTCCTAAACCACTGGGATTACAGGCATGTGCCACCACATCCGGCTCACTTATTTCTTAATTTCTAATTATAATTTTAATGATCTAAACTTGCCTAAGTTATAAATAATAATTATAAACCTAATTGATGAATTTTTTAGACACTTCTAAAAAATTACTAAATTGCCTGATGTGACTGACCACCATCACAAGTAATATCTTCCTACATATTAAAACAACTCTTGCAAACCTAATAAACTAATTTTACAACTGTGGAATTGCAAAGTCTTTAAAATTTTACAATATGGGCCAGGCATAGTAATGCATGCCTGTAATGCCAGCGACTTGGAGGCTGAGGCAGGAGGATTGCAAGTTCCAGGCCAGCCTCAGCAATTTCATCAGGCCCTAAGCAATTTAGAAAGACCCTGTCTTGAAATAAAAAATAAAAAAGGTGAGGGGGTGTGGCTCAGTCATTAAGTTCCCCTGGGTTCAATGCCAATACAAAGAAAAAAAAAGTCAAGATTGAGACAGGGCTGGGTGGAGTATACCTGCCTGTAATCCCAGCTACTTGGGAGGCTGAGGCAGGAGGATCTCAAGTTTAGCAATTTATCAAGACTCTATTCCAAATTAAAAATTAAGGACTGGGGACTGGGGGGTGGCTCATTGGTAGAGTGCTCACCTAGCATGCACGAGGCACTGGGTTAAATCCTTAGCACCACATAAATGTAAAATAAAGATATTGTGTCCACCTAAAACTAAAAAATAAATTAAAAAAGAATTAAGGATTGGGAATGTGGATCAGTGGTAGAGTGCTTGCCTAGCATGTATAATGCCTGGGTTGGATTCCCAGCACCACACCAGAAAAAAAAAAAAAAAAAGAAAAGAAAAAGTAAAGGGCTGGGCATGTAGCTCAGTGGTAAAGTTCACTCAACTCCACTCTTGAAATGAGTGGATATTGTGAACATATTCCACATTTTCTTTGTCCATTCACTTATGAGATGTGTTTACCGTTAGTACCGCTGTGCTGTAAACAAACTACACAAGTTGGCTTTTAAAATGTGATGACAAGTGCTCGCTTCGGCAGCACATATGCTAAAATTGGAACAAGACAGAGAAGATTAGCACAGCCCCTTAGAGAGGATGACATGCCAATTCATGAAGTGTTCCATATTTTTTAAAAATGCAGAATTTTGTTTAAAAAATAAATAAATGATATATGACAATGTAAGTGCATGGAGAATTCTAGGCTCTCAGCTCCCAGTGTGTAAGAATGTAAAAGTACAACTCTGTGCCACTGATGAGTGCGTGGCTGCTGTTTACCCTTTAAGTGGCATGTTGAGTGGAATTATACCATGTGACTGTTAAGCAATGAAAGGTTAGAAACCAACTTTTGATCTGAAAAAAAGATGGCATGATTATTCTGTGACATAAAGTATAAAGGTTCCTTGCCCCTCACCCCAAATCCTTGCAGCATCTGGATCCCCTGTACCCAGGATTGAATACAGGAGTGATCCCCCACTGAGAGACATCCCCAGACTTTTTGAAAATTTTTAAAAATTTGAGACAGGGCCTTGCTAAGTTGTTGAGGCTAGTTTTGAACTTGAAATCCTTCTGCTTCAGCCTCCCCAGTCACTGTGATTACAGGCATGTATCACTATGCCTGGCATTGTTTTGGGGGCTGGGGATCTAACCCAGGGGTGTTTAATTCCTGAGCCACATCCCCAGACCTTTTTTTTTTTTTTAAGAGAGAGAGAATTTTTTAATATTTATTTTTTAGTTCTCAGTGGACACAACATCTTTATTTTATTTTTATGTGGTACTGAGAATCGAACCCAGCGCCGCGCGCATGCCAGGTGAGCACATTACCACTTGAGCCACATCCCCAGCCCCCCAAACCTTTTTAAAATATTTTATTTAGAGACAGGGTCTTGCTAAAGTTTCTTAGAGTCTTGCTAAATTGCTTAGGCTGGCTTTGAACTCGCAATCCTCCTGCCGAGCTACTGGGATTACAGATGTGCACCACTGTGCCCAGCTTGTTTTTTGTACTTTTTTTTTTTTTTGGTAGTGGAGATTGAACTCAGGGACACTCACCACTGAGCCACATTCCCGGCCCTTTTTTTGTATTTTATTTAGAGACAGGGTCTCACTGAGTTGCTTAGTGCCTCACTTTTGCTGAGGCTGGGTTTGAATTTGTGATCCTCCTGCCTCAGCCTCCTGAGCTGCTGGGATTACAGGCATGAGCCACCACACCTGGCTGTTTTTTTTTTTTGTATTCTTGATAATAGACATTCTGTCTGGGGTCAGATGGAATCTCAATGTATTTTTTTTTTTAATTTTTTTAATGTTGACGGACCTTTATTTTATTCATTTATTTATATGCAGTGCTGAGAATTGAACCCAGTGATTCACACACGTGAGGCAAGCACCCCACCACTGAGCCACAACCCCAGCCCCTCAATGTAGTTTTGATTTGCATTTCCCTGATGGCTAACATGGTAGAACATTTTTTTCATACACATATAATTATTTGTTCTTCTTTGGAGAAGTGTCAGTTCAGTTCATTTTTCCATGTTGTAAAAATTCTGCTTGGATTTGCAAATGCATCTCACTGCATATGAATGAAAGAAAAACATCTGTGATCAATTCCTGATGTGATTCCAGTTCATTATGTTAGAACTATAATCCATGTTACTTTTATTTTAAATAAAATAAAAAAAATGGCAGTACTGGGGATGGAATCCATGGTGCTTTACCACTGAGCTACATTCCCAGCCCTTTTAAATTTTATTTTAAGTTAGGGTCTCAACAAGTTGCCCAGGATGGCCTAGAATCCTTCTGCCTCAGCCTCCCAAATAACTGGGATTACAGGCGTGCACCACCACGCCTGACATTAAACAAAATTCGAATTTTTATAGAATTTTCCAAAGTAGAATTACTAAGGATTCTGAATAAGCAAGAACAGATTATCTTCTTTTTAAAATATATTTAAATTTTTTTTTTAGTTGTAGATGGACACAATTCCTTTGTTTTATTTTTATGTGGTGCGGAGGATGGAACCTAGGGTCTCACACGTGCCAGGCGAGCACTCTACTGCTGAGCCACAACCCCAGCACCGCCCGCCCCCCATATTCTTTTTTTCTTTTTGATGGTGCTGGGATCTGGTGCATGCTAGGCCAGGGCTCTATCACCGAGCCACAGCTCAGCCCTATACATCACTCTAGAAAAAGTTAACTAAACATTTTTCTAGCTGAACACAATGGTACGCATCTGTAATCTCTACCTGGGAGGTTGAGGCAGGAGGACTGTGAATTCAAGCCCAGCCTGGACAACTGTTTTAAAGGGTTGGGAATGTAGTTCAATGGTAGAGTACTAAAAGAGTGGGGCCCTGAGTTCAGTCCCCAATACCACCAAAAAATAAAAAACAAAACTTGATTGCATTTTGAGGAAAAATGGTTGAAAACCACTTTTAAAAATCCACTGTAGCAGTAACAGGGGGAGATGTTGGACAGTGGCCCGTGCCTGAATTCTAGCTACTTGGGGGAATTGAGTTCAAGGCCAGCTGCAACAATTTGGTGAAGCACTCAGTAATTTAGCAAGACCCCGACTCAAAAAACAAAAACTAAAAAGACTGGGGCTTAGTGGTAAAGAAATGCTCCTGGGTTCAATATCCAGTACCAAAAAAGAAAAAAGAAAAAGAAAAAAGGCTTACTAAGTTGATTACTGAATCATTTATCCACTAATGCAATTTTAAAATCTCATTTCTCCCTTTGTAATTTGTATTAATTTATCTAAGCCATTTCTCATATGCATAGGAAAAAAAATACATTCTAGAAAAGGTCTAAATGATCTAAGTTTATTAAGCACTGCAATTTTATTTTTAGAGAGAGATAATTTTTTTTTAAAATATTTTTTGGTTTTCGGCAGACATATCTTTTGTTTGTATGTGGTGCTGAGGATTGAACCCGGGCCACACGCATGCCAGGCGAGCGCTTGAGCCACATCCCCAGCCTGCACTGCAATTTTTATCTCCTTGAATGCCAGTAGCTTAGAGATAACATGTAGAGAGTCAAGGAACAAACTTTTCTTATAGTTAGTAAGCTCTTTTCTAATCCGGAGCAAACTTCTTTTAAGAAATATTTCTGATTTTTCTTCTAATGAGGGTTTATATGCCTTTTCCCCCACTATTTATCTTGTAAACAAGACAGGGATTTCACCTTTGATTTGTAACCTTTTTTTTACTCAGCAATGTCATAGAACAGTTTTTCTTGTAAATAAACACACATGATCACACTTAATAGGTACCTGATATTCCACCTTTACAATTTGTTTAACCCAATTGTTTTATCAGAAGTCCTCTATTGTTGGACACTTATTTCCCGTTTTATTGTTACAGAACTATATATTACTATCTTCCTGCTTGGAAATAATTGTGGATTCATGTTAAGTTTTAAAAGAAATAAAGGTCCTGAATCCATCCCCACCACCACAAAGGCTGGCCTTGAACTTGTGATCTTCCTGCTTGCAGTTTCTGGATTTGTTGGGATTACAGGTGTGCACTAGTGCACCTGGCTAAAGGATATATATATATCTCACACATATTTTGGTACCAGGGATTGAACTCAGGGTCGCTTAACCACTAAGCCACACTCCCAGCCCTTTGTTCATGTAACTTGCAATCCTGCCTCAGCCTCCCAAGTAGCTGAGATTTATAGGGGCATGCCATTCTACCCAGTTTTTTAAAGTAAGGTGTAGTGTGGGTCATAAAAGGGGGCAATGAATGGCTTGCAATGTTTAGAACATTTTATTAAAGTACAAAATTGTTGGAGTTAAGCTAAATAGAAAAACATAGTAAATATTTACAAAAACATTGATAACATCACTCAAGTAACAATACACAAACAATGCAGAGAAAGGTCTTAAAAGGTTTACAAGTTGAAATTATGACGATTTCCCAAAAGGGATCTAATGGTTCACTGCTGAGAATGGTTTTAATGTCATATGTAAGATCTCTGAGCAAATGATATCCCCCACTCTGCAATACAGAGCTCCCTAGATATTAATCCTTTGGGAGATTCTGACTTAGAGGCAGCAGAGGGGACAAGTCAAGAGTTGAGACAGTCCTATGACTGGCCTGATATTCTCATCCTGTTGACTGGGTTGAGGTCATGCAGATACAGTCAAGGTAATTTTCTTCAGCTTCTGATGATTTTCAGGAGGATATAAGCAATTTCTCATTCTTTGAACAAAAATTCAGTACATAAAGGCTGAACAGAAGAGTACTGGATTAGAACTATCAAGTTCTATTTGATGGACTATTATCAATAAAACAAAGATAATATGGAATTTATCATGCTCTATTTCCATATTTAATGAAAATAGGAAAGAAGGCAGAGTGATACTTTTAAACCAAAGTGCTCTAGTTTTAGCTTAATGAATGGTCAACAATTTCCTGAAGTGACCACCTCACTATTACTAGAGTCCAGAAGAATTTAAAATCAGACTTTAAAGACCAAAGAAAACAGATGTAACATACAAAGCAGAGAAGAAAACAATGCCCAGGAAAGAGTCACTACTCACTTTGCTCTGATAGTTGTATATTAAAATACCTTCCCAAAACTAATTCAGGAGAGGAATTTAAGAATTTTAGGTGACTTTAAAAGCAGTCTTGGGCTCAGTAAGACCATTCCTTAAAATAAACACTTCATGTTTTAAAACAAATCATCTTCATCTGACTCTTCAAGGTACTTTATAGGTTTCTTTGCCCGTCCAGATTTTGCCCGAGGAGCCACAGCTGAGTCCAAGTCCAGATGAAAGTCATCGCTCTCCCCCTTGGGTTTCTAAAGAGGAATGTCAAGTAATTTGCATAATATAAACATGATAGCATAATTTCCAGACTATAATTCAAAGAGTTTTCTACCTTCTACTAAGTAGTAAGAAATAGATCTAAGGAAACTATCCCATTGATATTTAAATAAGTGCCTTACTTAATTTTTTTTGGCACTAGGGATTGAACTCAGGGGCGCTTTACCACTTTTGCTGGGATTACAGGTGTGCTCTACCATATCCAGCCATATTTAATTTTTCTCATAGCTAAACTATCCACAGCAAAAACTAATGAATTTGAGATTTAAAATTCTTAAAAATATATCAAATTAACAGGAAAAATATAGTTAGG